AGTAGTAGTACTATTAGTAGTAGCAGCAGCAGCAGCAGCAGCAGCAGCAGCAGCAGCAGGAGTAGTAGTAGTAGTAGTAGTAGTAGTAGTAGTAGTCGTAGTAGTAGTGGTCGTAGTAGTAGGAGTACTAGTAGGAGGAGGAGTAGTAGTAGTAGTAGTAGTTGTTGTTGTTGTAGTGGTGGCACTAGTAGTAGTACCGGTAGCAGTAGCAGTGGTGGTGGTGGTAGTAGTAGTAGTAGTAGTGGTAGTAATGGTAGTAGTAGTCGTCGCAGTCGTAGTAGTAGTAGTAGTAGTAGTCGTCGTCGTCGTCGTAGCTGCAGCAGCGGCGGTGGTGGCAGTCGTCGTCGTCGTCGTCTTCGTCGTGGTCGTAGCATAAAGCACGAGGAGGAGAGGCTAGTGTTTGGTGGAAGTACAATCAGCTTGCCTGGCATGCTGCCCGAAGCACAGAAGTCGAAACTGCTACCGCGGGCAAGGCCTCCGCGACGGTGGGAACCACCTGCACTGATGGTACATGAGGTCCCTAAAACTTAGCGGATCTCCAAAATGGTATTGGCTGCATATAGAACGGCCAGAAGGGAACAGTCACTTAATTACTTGCCAGAGTGAAAGGTAGACACACATGCTACACTTTGGAACTGTTTGCACATGTACTTTAATGAGGAGAATCTCTGGCTACAGTAGAACGCGCAAGACTCTTGGGGGTTGGGGGTGGGAGGTGGGTGGAGGTGGGAGGTGAGGAGGGAGGTGGGTTTGAGGTGGAGGGGGAGGTGGTTCGGTGTTGGGGGTTTTGGGTGGGAGGTGGGAGGTTGTGGATGGGCAAGATTAGCGCCATTCCGTTCCGCACAACGTCGCAGAAGCATTGGTATGAACCGAACTGCCCGAAGACAACCCTGGCGAAGTGTGTACAGGCAAATTCCTAGACTCATGACATGACCCATGTGCTCGGGATCCCCTCTCAGAAAATGCATATGTTAGAACCAACTTAGCACAAAAAACACTTTTCGCTGGTGTGCATCCCCAAGCTGTGTTGAACATAATGCCGCACTGTGTAGAAACACAAGAGACATGGCACGCTGTGCCAGTTGCAACGGTGTAAGGATAACCACAGTTGCTGCGATTTTCGCGTCGTTGATTCACAGGACTGCGGTACAAGCCCTGCTGCCTCGCCGCGGCTTGGATTGTTCGGAGCCTCACTTGCAAAACTGAGCATCTTCCGATTGTGCAGCGACTCTTTGTCGAGACCGTCTCAAGCTCCAGTGGTCGGAACTCCCAGTGACCAACACATTCGGAACTAGATCACCCTCGTGGCCGTTATAGCGTGAACAACGACATCGCCCACTATTTCTGTCAGAATGGCTGAATGCTGCAATGCGCATGTAGCCTTGAGGATATATATATATATATGTCTGAAGCACCTGCTGTTTTATGATAAGGTCGTGGCTGCGACAACCAGCATCATGGCAAGAATCTTGATCAAGCGCGGCCTTTCGAAGCAATTGGCCGATGTTGAAGGGGCTGTACCAGAAACCTGTAAATCCGAAGGGCCCCAGTCCCCACTTGCGACCGTGTCGGCGCACAACCCTCAACTTCAGAACATGCGCTCCAAACATCCGTATCAGCAGCACAATTGTCCTCCTCCTCCTCATCCTCCTCGTCCTCCTCCTCCTTCTCCGCCTCCTCCTCATCGTCATCATCAACATCATCATGATCATGACCATGATCATCATCATCTTCATGGAAATTATCATCATCATTCCGGTCATGGGCACCTACCAAGACATTCACCAAGACATATCCTGAACCACAGAGCTGCAACGTTGAGGCCGTAGCAGGGCTTGCCCTCGCGGCAGCTGCTTTTCCCACATGATTGCCTGGTGAGTGCGAGTGAATCGTCAGTGACGAATTGGCACGAACATCTTCGTCATACTTAGGGTCTTGGCAACAGCCTGACAGATGGAACAAAACGACTAGGCAGTATACTGATCGTAGCAAGCAGTACTCTAGGAGTAATCCCAAAGGTAAAAGACCAGCAGGAGTGGCGACGGGAAGCAACAATACCAGCGATAGTTAACGAAGCCGCTTGTGGGTAACGGAAACGTTGCGTACTTGAAGAGTCTTGCAAATCAGGGTGGGTGTTCTTTCGACTGTGACAGTAGGCTGTCCAGTGATGATGCCGGCCATGGGCGATTGTTTGCAAGACAACAAAATTGGGACCTGCACCTGTCTTTGTAGCCTGCGCCGCAAGCAGTGATTGACAGGAGCATCTGCCAAACAATGAGGAGAGACGCACTGGCAAGCTAGCGAGGGTCTCTCAAGACACGGGGAGTCCAGCAAGCAGGAACATTGACCGGCAACAAGATAAGTCAAAGTCAAAGACACATAAATGGAAAGGAAATTGCGTATTCTCAACATGTTCATCCACGCGAGTCCGTGCTATCATGGGTGTGCTGGTGCTGATACAGCAGCTCTTCGAGCATGTCGTTCGCGGTCAGAGAGCGCAAAAAGTGGCCAGTGTTTAGGGACCCGGATGGGGAGGAGACCGACATCAAACTAGTCTCTGTAAGCTGTATACAATATCTAAACTATGTGTGGGTGTATGAACGCAAGAAGAACAGCAAAGGCCCTTGAACTCACAGCATCGATGCTACTGCGGAATCCTGATGAATCGGTGCAGCGGCGCCTGCGCTTGCTTTTGGAGCTGGACTAGCTCCGGGGCATTGTCCCCACGCGATGTGTCCGGATCTCCCCAAAGGAGGATATTCCGCAGAAACCTGAAAACAGAACCACAATGCGCCCTGGCGGCTAGATCCTGCAAGATTGTACTTACGGTGCAGCAGAGGTACTCAACACATCTCAAAACAATCAGTCGCCGCTGCAGAGAACAGCACAGCAAACCAGAGTTCAGGAATCACGCAAATTGAGACAATGTGGTTTGAGCTTTGCAATAATGTCTCGGAGGACCTCATTCTAAATTTGGAACAATGCTCGACAATCAATGCTCAGAACGAGCATTACCATACCTTTTCTGCGGGGACCCTGGCCTCAGCATCGCAGTGATGGTCCTGCGGCGATGCAATCCGCTAGAATCCGCTAGGCAGAGTGCGGCGTCGACTCCCCATGCCAAGCAAGCTTCAGTCGGACCAACAAGTTGCACCGTCGTTGAAGTTGCCTAACCTATGCGACATCATCACCCGAAGGACCTCAGGCTTGAAATGTTCCCTAAGGTGAAAGGGAGATGTGTCTGAAGTCATGCCACATCAGGGTTTCGGAAACTCTGCGGCTGAGTACAAACAAACTCAGGGCTCGACGCAAACATTTGATATGTTCCATCTGCGACTGCACCCTTAAAGGATGATGATTGCCGCATTCGTTCTCATGCTTAAGCTCTGGTGCAGACATCTTGTAGACATAGCTGCGACACATCGGGGCAGGATTTAGGGTGGGACAAGGCCATACATTGATATCGCAGACATGACGGCCGCAAGCACATCCGTGATACGCGAAACCACGAACTATCCCGCCGATCCTCTCATACTGAGCCTGGCCCACTTCGGTGAGATGAGGAAGAGCCTCGTCGCACGATGAAGCTTGCGAGCAGGATTTCCAAAAAAAGTGTTGCAATGCGCAGCAATGTGAAAGGGACCCACTGCAAAACCCCGACTTGGCGGCGCTGACTCTGGCCGTTCAGCGAATCCAACGGCAAAACAGATATGACTTCCCGAACAGCCCGTACTTCCGAGGTGTTGATACAACAGCCGTGCTGTTGTTGCACAGCAGCTGGACGAGCAAGTCTGACATCTTCGTGACTTGCGATTTGAGAGTCTGGCAAGTTTGCACAGCCTGTTGGGACAGATGGCCAGTGGCTCTGGCAGACGCTTGGGCAGTTCGCTTCGTTGAGGCATCATAGACCTTGTTGAACGTGATGCGCTCGGCGATCTCGTCAAGTATGACAGGAGGAGCACAGCGATTGAATGCCGTTTCATTTGCTCAATTTGTAGGTGGGCACGGGAGCTTAGCACTGGGAAGTCATCCTCGATGAGAGGGGAGAGCTTTGTGTCTTCAAGCCTTCAAGCCACAAGATTGGGATCTGTGCCATTGGTGGTCACCCAGTCGCAGGTTTGGCTTAATGCACCAAGCCGCCAAATTCCTGTTTTTGTGCAAGTCTGAGTTAGCTCAGATTTATTGATAACCCTTACAGCCACCAGCCGTGTCTCTTGAGTACAGGTTGCCATGATACATATACGGGAATGCATACGTAAACTGAACCTTGATGACGCGACATTTCTAATGAGGCAATGTTGAACGACTCAAACACCATGATGACAAACCCCTTTTTCCAAAAGATAGGTGTGGATAAGAGGACTCAGAACAGTGAGTAGGAAATGATAGAACGAGATGATTCGAGTCTCACAAAGAACTATGCGACACTATCTTGGCTGGGTGAACCACAAAATGACGGTGTAATATTTCACGTCGAATAAGAGCCTCTATGTTCGAACCAGTATCTTAATTGTTCGTGATGACTTGAATGAACAACTGGAAAAATCTACCTACCGAGCTCCACAACTGCATTTGTTCAGACTCCATCTTGGGGGATTAAACTTTCTATTCGAGCAAACCTTCTGCCGTTGCGATGTCCAACTAACACATTCGTTCAGCTTATCATGTACGGATGAACGCATTGAGCTCCAAATGGTGCAGCTTGACCACGAAAACGAACATATGAAGAGGTGCTTTTCGCGAAATAAGAAACCCATGATAACACATGCCGGTATGCAAACAACAAACATGTTTTTGAGATCGACCTGAAATATACATGCTTCCAGCATTCGAAGTTCATTACAGCTGTTGTGTTCGCTTTGCCTTGGAGGTGCTCTCGCCTTCTTTAGTGGCGAGAAGACACATATGTGCATGCATATGTGTGTATTATGTGTATATATATATATATAAGTATAAACATAAATGTGTATATATATACACATACATACATATATATATATATATATATACATACACATATATATGTATAGGTGTATATATACATGGTATAGTGTTTCAATGTAACACTACGACATCGCGAAACAACACCAGCCCCACCACCCGCCACTGCCCTTCTCAAATGAACAACATGCCAGCACAGATCCCAAAACAATGATAGTTCACCACAACGACCATGACGATGAAGACAACTACGACCACCACGATGACGACTATGAACAGGACGATGAAAACCCACACGAGCCCACCAGGAGACCACCCAGCAACCACGGGGGAGTCCACCAGGATACCACCAAGACACCACCAGTAGACCACCGTTAAACCCCCGAAGACCACAAAGATACTAACGGTAGACCACTACAACACGACGGTCAAAAGGTTTCCCCCAAGTATTTGTGGAATTGGCACCCATGTACTGGCGAATTCAGAAACATGCTTAATATGTATGTGTTGGTGGGACTCAGAGTTTCGAGGCGAGAAGGTGACCAACGCAGTGAAATTTACGATGAATCACAATTTGCGCAGGATGTGGCGAAGGCCATGAAACCTCTGAAGATCGCAACCACGCAATCACATGGCGGGAAGCGTGTCGCTCAGCTCTCTGGCTTCCATGAGCACATGTGGGGAAGCATGCTGCTCATGTCTGTCTGAATCCTACCATGACTCCTAATTTCACCCTCACTTGCAGGGAATCTTTTGACCGTGGTGTCCTGGTGGGCGACTGGCGATCTCCTGCTGGTCTTCTGGGATTTCCTGGTGGTCTCCTAGTGGGTATCTCGGTGGTCTCCTGGTGGTGTCCTGGGATCTCCTGGTGTCGGTCTCCTGCTGGTCGTGATCGTCCTGGTCGTCGTGGCGATCCATCTTTTTGTTTGGATCTACGCTGGCATAATATGCATCAGGCAAGAAGCCTGAAAGCAAGAGCCGCAGTCATATCGTCAAGTCCCTGTGATCCTTCCCGTACTGTTGACTGTAAATGAGAAGGCTGCTCGCTTGCAAGCATTGCCACAAATAGCCGGTTTGTCCATACTGTCAGTGTTAGCTTCTCTTGTGTGCCAGCTGTCATACGGTTCTTTTATGAGCACAGTTCTAGCCGGTCTTTCATGCTTGCTCCTTTGGATATCGCAGGTCCTAGTGTAAACGTCCCAGTGCAGGCATCACTGCACCAACATCCGAGATTCCGCGGCTTGAACTTAGCGACAAGAACCACCATGCGACAACAAACACCTACATACGCGCTGGATTCTAATGTAAAGATCTGGGCCAAGTAAATGAAAGATAATGAAAGTTGAAACATGTCACGTCTTGGTGCCTCGATGGTGCAGTCCAGCACTTCCGGCATCCACGCGGTATGCTCGATAGCGAGTAATGAGAGGTTCCAGTGCCTCGTCTGCTCGGCTTTGAGAATTCGGCGGTCTCGGCTATTCTTCGGCAGTAGGAGCGATTCGCTCGGGCCTCGGGTGTGGAAGCCGTAGGTAACAGCCCTATAGTATTTATATAGTCTGAAAGAGCCAGTGTGCGCAAGATCGCTCTAGAATCGACATGATGGGAAGCCGCGCAATCCTCCAAACCAGACTTTGTATCAATGCGTGATATGCACGTAAAGAGAGACTCGAATGACACTGCATTGGAAGAGCATCCTCTGCATGACAACAGGCCCATGTGTGGTGCACACCGGGACAATCTCCAAGATCAAGCCTCAGCTCGGTCTCAAGACCTCGCCAGAAATCAATAAAGTGAAGGACTTCCTCAAGACCAGGCATTGCCCCAGTCTGAAACCCTCACCACAAAAAAACTACAAATGCCGACAAACCGACAACCTGAAAGAGAAAGCACAAGTCGAGGTTCTTGGAATGCTCGTGCAAACCTCGCAGATCATGAACCACGCAGGCCCATCTCGCATATTGACACTCCGCGTCGACGTGGGGACATTGTAATCCGAAAGCCTAGGAGCCCCTTGCTTGAAGCCCACGCCTGCCGCCACAAAGCCACACCATACCCCAAAAAGGGATCCCAAAAGACTCCGCCTCCACAAACCTCGAGATCCTGAAGCAATCCATTGCCTGGCCTTACAGCCTCCGTCATCATTTCGTACGCGGCGGCACTGATAGGTGGCCTGGTGCGTCTGGCATGGCCCTCATATGTCCTGATCGTAAATCAGAGCACGTTCTGCAGAAAAACTGCGTCGACAAAACTGAGGTCCTCAGACATCTCGACAGTCTCTTGCGAAAGGCTGCGATGCCACGGCCGGTAAGGCTTTACCTACTTTGCCACACCCTGTTTCGATCGGAACCGGCGCGCAGCCGTCGAGTTGGCCCGGCTCGTCTAGGAGCCGGCGGATGCAGATGCTGGTTCGGAATCGCTTAGTTACAGTAGACTGTCAGACCATGACCCGCGAGGTATCTGAAGCTCCCGGCGGCAGGAGGGTCGAGCTCGACGAGGCCATGTTCTTTGCCACCGGAAGAATGAAGAGACCTGCGACTTAGTTCCGCCAGGGTCTGACATCCTAAATCGCATCAGCAATTGCTCGCGCTTGGGCTTGGGGATCGGAAGCCATGCGTCTAGGACTTGGAAACCCGAAGCATCTGCATAAACCTATCTCGGAGGCAATGATGCCTCTGATTCATTCCTACTTTATGCCCTCAAAACCAACACTCTGCAAACGACATGAGCCGCGAGTAATGTTTGGCACCGGCCCGGCCCATTCAAGGGCTTGGAAGCCCGACTGCCTGAAACTCTTACAATGAGCGCCTGTGAGGTCCACAAGGATGGCATCCATCTCTTTGTTCGTGTTAGCAGCGAAGAAGCCAATGGTGGCCCGTACGAGACCTGAGACGCAGCTCTCTTTCACACGTGCCACCTGAACACAGCCTATAAGCCATAAGCACAACTGAGTTGAGACAGCGTCTGCGAACCTGAAGACCTAGAAGGGGCAGTGTCAACGTCCCTGTCGCAACGCCTGCTCGAGAAGGGTTAGACTACCGACCCAAGGGAGGTTTCAGCAAAGTCTGGGCTTCGGATGAAGATGCTTGGTATTCTCCAGGAGCCCACGGTATGTCTAGACTTCACCAAATCAGAAATGCAGGCTGCGCCCAAGTGAAAATGCAAAGGAGGCAATCCCTACCGGAGGCTCCATGATTTCATACCAACTAGAAACTTGCTGCATGGGCGACATGAACTTTCTCCTTCCGAAGCACGGGCCATAAACCCAGTTCCAGAGCACTGGCGAGAAGCTGGGCCTCCAACTCATGTAGTATGGCTGCGGGTGAAACTCACAGCCTTCCACAGAATCTGATAAGGTCTGCTGCAGCTGCTGAGGAGCAGGATGATGACGATCATGTTGTTAAAGAGCAAAAACACGCACACATGCCTGCATGCATACATATATTTGTCTACCTGCTTTTCAAGGTGTACATCACGTACACAAACATGAAAACGACAGTTGAGGCAACAGCAAATGCCGAAGGCATGTATACTGCATACCTATACAGTATGGCCTGGCTTCATCTGTGCTTCACTGAAACACGTGCGAACATGAGTAGCAAATGTATACAGAAACAACCACTGCATGCGGTGTGATACTTGTACATGCATGTGGGCCGATACTGTGCAGCTCTTGTGCTGCCAGGGTCTTGTTCGGTGAGGGCTGACCCCAAAAGCCTGATCTCCGAACGCACCATCCCGTCTACCCTCCACCTTTGTCAACGCCATTACCATACCCCTGAGTGCTCGGCATCTAGCCATTAGCTTCATCATTGGCACGAATACCTTCGAGCTTGGAACGTACCTCAGCTGAAAGTGCTCAAGCATGAAGAGTTTTGGAAACCGGTCCCGGACCACGACTTCAATATGTAAGGGAAACTCGCTGGACCCAAGACTTCAAGACCCCAAAGTTTAAGAGTTCCTTCGCTTCCGAACTTTCGCGGTGTTTACGCGGCGGCAATCCTTTGAGAAGTGTGCCTGTCCCCACCATGCAGGAACAAACGGTCCCTTGTATGCTCAGCCTTCAGAGCACAAACCCCAATTTCAACCATCTCGTTGATTGCATGGGATGATGAGCACTTTAGGCTTGTATCCTGTCATGAGAGCAGACCACCCACACGCAGGCCACGGAATTACGAGAAGACCAATAAATAGACCGTCGATGAAACGAAGAACCGATCACCCGGTATCTCAGCCTTCGGCTCCCTGGAGAAACCGAGGATGTAACCTCACTGGATGGCTGCGGCTGGGTCTTCATCGCTGTGCTCGTTTCTTTTCAATGACATGAAACGAAACCGTCCAACAATAAGCATGAAGAGTGTCATAGTTGCGGTGTTAGTTGAAGTCGCTCCCACGGGAAATGATGCTACAAATACATAGACACAAATCGACTGCGCCTGCCATTGCGCCTTTAGCCAGAAACTACTGCTATCGTTGTCGTTGCTGTTGTCGCTATTCGATGATGATGTGGCTGTGGCATTCGCTGCTGCTGCTGCTGCTGCAGCTGCTGCTGCTGCTGCTGCTGCTGCTGCTGCTGCTGCTGCTGCTGCTGCTGCTGCTGTTGCTGTTGCTGCTGCTGCTGCTGGTGGTGGTGGTGGTGGTGCTGCTGCTGCTGCCGCGGCTGCTGCTACCACTGCCGCTGTTTCTATTGAGCTATTGCTGTTGTTGCTGTTGCGGTTGCTGCTGGTGTTGCTGCTG